CTTATATTTATTTGTATACAACATAGGCATATTTAAGATGTGTTTACTGAGTCTAATCACAACTTTTGACATGAGATTTCTGGTAACTGCCGGCAAAATCTAGAGCTTAGGAGATACTTACCACTGCAGCCTACTGAGAGAGAAAAATTAACAGAGAACTAGGCCAAGAGACCCCAGTTGGCAATAAATAGCTGTTTAAAATTATTGAGAAAAAAAATTATTTAACTCATAACAAGCAATATCTTGAGGTCTGGAAGACATATTGATCACGAGGTGTCTTATCTTATCGCTTAGTTCTATTTGACTCTCACCATCTGGTCGTGCGACATGTTGTACTTCGGACATGAATTGGATTTTTAATAAGGTATTCGCTCAGGCTTGACATACACACACACACACACACAAACATGAAGGCACTCACACACAAACACACACACCACCACCACCATCAGGCATTGCCGTCTTAAGACATGCGTAAGTAGTTGAGATTTTGCCTCCCACAGTGGCCCACCTAGGGGGTTCGAAGGGGCTACCGTCCCAGGCGTCACTTTGGGGGTTTTAGGCAAGCCTACCATCATGACATCATTTGATGTTGGCGTAAATTTGGACTCGGCACATTTAGTTACTCGCATGTGGATGTAGTTTACTCAGTAATTTAGATGATGTAGGCGTAGTTCGAACCACGTCACTTAATCTCAATTCCCAATTTTTTTTTACATCTCCTTTCCTTTCAATATCGTATGTACAAAATCTTGATCTGCACTCAATTTTTTTCTCCATTTTTTTTTTCACCGCTGCTCAGCTCTAAAGCTTTATTTTTTCCCCCTTTAACCAAACAAACACTCTGATTGGCTAGTCTTTATTAGTGCCAAATACTCTCAATTAAATGCACGGGGAACATCCAATATTAACTTTATCAGTTTTCTCCCATCCGTGCTCAACACATTCATAATAATATCTGTGACAAGACCAATAGGGGGTAATTTACGCAATAAGGGACGGAAGAGAGGAAAAGAAATCAATGGCTTTTGGTTGTTATCTCCCTCTTATTGTCATTCTGATAATGTCATCATTGCGCGTCCAAATGATAGCTTCTAGTTTCAACTTATGCGAATTTTCTTTCAACAATAACAAAAAAAAATCACAACCTCAGTGTTGAAACATCAACTTACGGTTCCACAAAAGAAATACATTTTTGAGCTTATTAGGATGTTTTAAATGAAAGAAAGTTAACATAGTGAAAACACAAAGGAAACTTGGGCTTAGAAAAAGCCTGCAGCCTATATAACATCCTTTATTACAGCCTTTATTACAGCCTTTATAACAGCCTATATTACAGCCTATATTACAGCCTATATTACAGCATATTTCAAATTCAAAAAGCTTCATAAATAGAAGGTATAGTTTTTGCTGTCACTTTTCATCTCTCAGTGACAGAGGAAAAACAATTCTTATTAGCTGTTTGGTTTGAGGATTCAGTATTATGTGTTTCCCCTCTTGCTACATCCAAGTTCTGGATAATACCAAGAGCTGATTGCTTAAGGCCCCTAATCAAGGAATGTGCCAACAACACTTTGAAGTTATAAAAGTTTTAAAGGTCTTTATTGACATAATGTTTTTCACCCTTCAATTTGACATCGGTTACATGATTTTTCTTTCATCATCATCATTGGCACTCCAGTCATCATCATCAGTGGCACTCCAGTCATCATCATCAGTGGCACTCCAGTCATCATCATCAGTGGCACTCCAGTCATCATCATCAGTGGCACTCCAGTCATCATCATCATTGGCACTCCAGTCATCATCATCATTGGCACTCCAGTCATCATCATCATTGGCACTCCAGTCATCATCATCAGTGGCACTCCAGTCATCATCATCAGTGGCACTCCAGTCATCATCATCATTGGCACTCCAGTCATCATCATCAGTGGCACTCCAGTCATCATCATCAGTGGCACTCCAGTCCAGGGCTTGTGTCACAATACCCTTCAATTCTGGAGCGATCCATGGCTTTCCGCCTCTAGGCGCAGACCCGCAGCTGGTGTAAGTCCTTCCCTTTCATTGTCATTACAACTCATCTTTGATCTCAGGCGTCTGCACCTGCCAGTAAATCACTTAAAATACTCACCAAAGGAACACTAAAAATATTTAAAAGCTTTTTTTAAATGCTTAGTATGTCAAATCTTCCCAGTACCTAGCAAACAAGAAAACTAAACTTTTCTGCTTGACCAGCTCACAGAGAAGTGACGAATTTGCTAGTAGGATTAAGTTGTGGAACGAGATTTTAACATACATTCTTGATTAAACTAGATTTTGAACTCTGCCGTGACAGGCCAAAAAAATAAATATATAATAATAACAAAGCTACCAGTTTAACCAGAAAAAAAATCCTAAAGATGTCTCTGTAAACATTTACAATCACGTGATCAAGATAAGAGATGAATCAAAATTTTGAATTTCGTCGTAGAGAACTTTGGTTTTGTTTTTAACTGAACTTTAGTTGACAAAACTGTGTAGGGATCAGGAGAATATTTTTTAAAGCAAAAATAAAAAAAAATTGAAACGAAAAAAACAACATGAAAGTAAAACTACTTAGAGGAAAAATGATAGGAAGTATGAAAACACAACATAGCACAAGACAAAATTAGAAACTATGAAAGCACACAAGATAGCACAAGACAAAATTAGAAACTATGAAAGCACACAAGATAGCACAAGACAAAATTAGAAACTATGAAAGCACGAAAGAAGAATTATTTCACAATTTAACAGAAAACTAAAGAACAATGTTCAACAGGAATCAGAATCAAATGAACTAAATGAATCATGTGAAACCATTATGAACATAAGTAAAGATCAATCAGTGAAGACATTTTACCCAAAATGATTGATAGCAAATAGAAATAGTTCAAACTATAGCTTGGCGCATCATTTTAAAATAAATGCACCGTAAAAATAACAAAGAATTATTTTTTTTTTAGACACAATGGAGATTAAACAATTTGTTTAAAACTGTTATGTACAAGTTAACCAACAATATATTCCTATTACGTAATGATATTTTGAGAGGGACATAATATTTTGACTCTACTGTTATTGATGATCACTATGAAGAAATGTATTAACTATTTATGGTGATATTATGTTTTTAAATTCTTGATATGTGATATAATAATAATTTTTTGACTTTTATTATATGTAATAATTTAAAAATTTGTTACAAATTAGAAAAAAAAACATGAAGAGGGAGAGTGTCACAGATATTAATGATTTACAATGGAGTTAAGTGAGGTGAGAATTATGACTTGTAATTCATAGAGTATGCGCACTTGGGAATAGGAACCAATCAGAGGAGGACAAAGGACGCTTGAGAATATGGTGGTTATTATTAAGTCCATATTATTAATATTATGTGATAAGATAATGAATAGATTGTGATTGTGACGTATCAAGTGGAGAAGCTTTCTTTAAGATCGGTACAAGTATTATCTATTTGTGGTCATTATTGTGATTGTGTATTAATAAAGGATAGCCACTATTTCATTTGAATCCACAAAGCCTCTGTTGTTATAGATGAAATAGATTATATCATAACTAAATTGTGGTCGGCTGGGAGTGATTAAAGACGTGACACAGGCGCACAATCAGCAATATAACGACAATCACAGCCTTCAAAACTGCCCTCAAGACCCATCTCATCAAACTGTACTAAATCGACTCATTCTCACCCCACTCGGAATGATGAACAACGCTCGATTCTGCTGGGTGATGCCCATGGCTAGACAGGGGTAGATAGTACTTGGGTGGCAGAGGTTAAGCTTTTTACCAATGGTTGTTTTTAAAAATGTATACGTTTCTGTTATAGCTAAATTTTATGTGAATCGCAGTGGGCCTAGCCCTAGGCTGGGGTACTGCGCTATATAAAACCATCTAATACTAATAACATTTCTGCAATCTTATATTTATTCGTTTCGATATTATTGTGAACGTTTACATAAAATCAGACACTTTTTGGACCCTAATGTCTTGACTGCTATCTGTAACTTAATAGAACAGTGACACAACCAAATTCCAAAAACGCTAATATATGAGGTAATGGTATCTAAAGCAGGAATGTGTTATATTTTTCTGACTTATATTTTAAGGTTAATACCACCTAGAAAGTGCCAGTGTTTTCCGCTCCTATGCCACCCCCATCCAAATCCCACCCCCTCAGTTTTCTTCCAAAAAGGCTCTCTCTCTAAATATTTAAAAAAAAAAAAAAAATCAGTCGCCCCATGGTTGGGCAATCTAGATCCGCTCTCCTTACTACGCCATTATAATGATCTCTTACATATATTTTCTTCAGGTGCGTCCTGCTTCCTCTTCAAAAACCGACCGCCCAAACTCCAGACGTTTTACATTATATTACTAGTACTGAATGAAAAAAGGCTGTCTCGCAGCGAGAGCTCTATGCGTAACGTCTGAACTCCGGTAAATAGCGTGGGTGGTGTTTTTTTCTTTAACGGGGGGGGGGGGGAAATTTTATATGAAAAAAGGCTGTCTCGCAGCGAGAGCTCTATGCGTAACGTCTGAACTCCGGTAAATAGCGTGGGTGGTGTTTTTTTCTTTAACGGGGGGGGGGGGAATCTTATTCGGTGTGGTGCTTGTTCGGGTGCCACTGTCACACAGCGAGCTTCACGTAACGTCTGAACTCATGAAATTAGTTTTGCTGTATTTGTTACACCGTTAATGTTGCTCCGTAAGTCTTTATCATAAACTGACCGACAGCATCTCTTCTGTCACCGGGTGTTTGCACAACGTCATCGCTGTTCCGGGATCCAGCCACTTCCTGTTCCTATCAATGGGTTATTTCTTGGCTCAAACGAAAGGCCATGCACTCTCACTTCGATATCAGGCAGTAAATTGCATTGCATATTATGAAAATAATAAATTTAATCGTACTTCCGGACCCGGTGAAAAAAAAACAAAAAAAACAACAACAAAAAAACAACTGTACCCGAGTAAGTCCTAGTGTATTAAGAAAATTGTAAGAGTTTGAATGAGTCTACAAGAATGGGAACCGTTTAAAAAAAATTACTACGCAGAACTTGAATAAATGGAATTAGAAACATCACAAAATTTTGGGAAAACATTAACAAAAAAGAAGAATAAGAAAAAAAATTTTGTAATTTCTAATTTGATAGTTCTTTAATTTGTGCTCAAAATTTGCTCAAAAGGAAAAAACTGACATCCTTTTTTTTTAAATTTAAAAAATAAATACTTTATTTAAATTGTTTGTATTCATTGAGAAGTGAAAACTTTTATTTTGCACAGCCTAAATTTTTCTTACTGAGGGATGGGGCAAATAAGGTGGAGGGATCAAACAACATCTTTGATGGGGGGCAGCAAAATATCGATCAGTGGATTCCAGATGTTTTTCTTGCTGACTACGTTAGGGTGGAGTGGATCAAAGAGAATATCCCGTTTCTTGCTGATGATTAGTGGGTTGGTATTGAAAGGATCAAAGACGACATCCCTTTTCTTGCTTAGGATTAGATTAGGCTCGAAATGAATGATCCCGAGATCAGGTATTGTGAGAATGGACTGAAGACTTCTCTTGCTGGCGATCTGATCTATTAGTTGTTGTAAAGTCGAGCCCCCGCTACCTCCTAGGGATAAGATGGGCGCCAAGTCTGATGCTCTCTTGCTTAAAATCCATGGGTTGAATGCTGTAGAGGAACCCTGTAGGATGTCACGTTTCTTGCTATTGATTAGATAAGGGAGGAAAGGAACGAGCCCATCACCGGTTAGTGAGATAAGGGCCTGAGAATCTCTCTTCCCGGAGAGCTGCTGTAGTAGTTGCTGTTGTAAATTGAAGCCCCCATCAACTCCTGGGGAAAAGATAGACACCAGATCTAATATTCTCTTGCTTAAAATAAATGGGTTGAATGTTGTAGAGGAACCCTGTAGGATGTCACGCTTCTTGCTAAGCAGAAGAGGTTGAAATAAAGTCCAATTAATTTGCTTCTGAGGAAGATACAATACATTAAATGATTGTATTGTTCATATGAGAAAAAGCATTGGTTGGGCTTGGACAATTTTATTGGTTGATGTTAAAATATGTAGGCTCAGTGGTCCATGAAAACAAGAATAGACTTCAACGTTTGATTTAAGGATTTGCATTGAAAATTATGCAATTAACTTTTTTTGTTTCAACCCCTGGAAAGAAAATATACATTTCTGAATTTTTTCAAGCCTAGCAGTAGTTACAATTCTACGAGATCCAGGATGAAAATGGTTCATCAAAATTTAACACACCGATAAATTTTTTCGAGCGTAAAAAAATTCTAGTCTCAAACATCTTTTTAATATAAATCAATCTGGTGGCGCTAAAACAACATTGATAATCCCTTTAATAATACACTGTACAATAAAACAATGCTAGTGGTTTAGATTGACCAAATAATTAATTTATCCGAAACATCTCCTGTGTTGTGTTGTTAAACGGGGGTTGGTGTTGTAGAGGGGGGGGGGGCTCTTCTTCTTCTTTATTTTGAGGGCCCACGATCAATGAATTGATCATTCTGGCTCCTATGTTTCAGAGGGGTTCGCGATGTTACTGTGCATGGGTTTCAAGGGGATACTTCAATGGTTGCAAGGGCGACTCAGCAGTGGTGTTATGAAGTGGGGGTTGGAATACAGGAGGCAATAGACACAAATGTGTTGAGTGTAGCCACCTCAACTGTTGTTTTTGGAAGCTTGTTCCAGTCCGCTATTGTCTTTGGCAGGAATGAGGAGCTCCTGTACTTTGTTCTTGTTTTTACCAGCCGGAGCTGTCTGTCGTGGTCTCGTTGCTGTCTAGGGGGAAGATGAACGAGTTTCTGTTTGATGCCGGAGCAGTGGACCAGCCCATTTTTGATCTTGTACAACATGGTGAGCCTGGATAGTCGTCGTCGTTCTTCCAATGTTGACCAGCCCAGTGATTCTAGCATGCTGCCAACACTTGAGGTGTTTCTGTAGCAATTTAGGACAAAGTGGGCTGCCCGTCGCTTTACCGCCTCAAACCTATCGATACTTTTCTGGGTGAATGGGTCCCAGACTGTAGAAGCGTACTCTAAAAGAGGCCGGACAAAGGCTTTATAGGCTTTTTCTTTCACGCTTGAGATGCCGATCTTCAGATTGCGGCTTAGGAACCCCAGGCTCTTGTTTGCCCGGTTGCACACACTGTTAATGTGCTCGTCCCAGCGGACCTCTCTTTGAATGGTAACACCAAAGTACCTAACTGAGGAAACTGAGTTAAGAATATGGCCATGCAATTCTTAAGAGTGGTTTAGAAATGATTTGCATCTGGAGACTGACAGGGTCTGGCACTTGAAAGGATGAAATTCCATGTCCCAGCTCATCTCCCACTCAGCTAAACGATTGAGGTCTTGTTGGAGCTGGCTCTGGTCAGAACTGTTGACGATCGTCCTATACACCGCCGTGTCGTCTGCGAACAGTCTTGCTTGAGAGGTCAGCTTCTCGGGCAGATCATTCATATATGCTAGGAACAAACAGAGGCCTAGCACTGAGCCCTGGGGGACCCCTGACTTAACACCGACAAAGGAGGAGGTATGGCATCGGTCACTGAGGAAGCTAGAGATACATGTTTTGGTAGTGCCTTGGATCCAATATCTCTGCAGTTTGTGTAATAGCAAGCTATGGTTGACATGGTCAAACACCTTTGATAAGTCCAGCACAAGCACATCAGTTTGCTTGCTGCCCTCCAAGTTGGTCGTCAATTCTTCAGCGAATTCAAGGAGTTGGTTCTCGCATGATCTGTTTACTCGGAAGCCATGCTGACAGTCATTGAGTATAGTGTGTCTTTCAAGATGATTCATGACATCGCTTACGATTATGTGCTCCAGTAGTTTGCAAACTACGCTGTTGAGGGACACAGGGCGGTTGTTGGCAGGGTCGTAATGCTCCCATTTTTTTTTTGTAGATTGGAGTGGCATGCGCTGTTCTCCAGTCTTCTTTCTGCAGCGCTGGTCAACCCACTCCCCCGCCCTCCCCCCGCCCCGACCCTTCCTGATTTCAAAACACATTTCCGCGGCCCACTCCCAACTAACATAAAAAATCACTAATAAAAACGCAACTAAACATGATTTTTATGTGTCCCACCACCCCTAGCAGGCTGCCACCCGCATCCTCCAGGGGTTCCGGGCAGCCCCAGTATTGGAGCCGCTGACGTGTAGATCAAATAGACTCTGAAGCGTAACAAACTTTATCTCTTAAAACTTACAATATAAGAATCCAGCGGCAGGACGCTCTTCTTGCCGAGTGAGTGAATCAGTGCCATTAGGGTGTCGTTGATAGTCTGTGGATTATATAACACGTGCTACAAATGTGGATTATATAACACGTGCTACAAATGTGGATTATATAACTCGTGCTATAAATGTGGATTATTTTTATTGTTATGTACTATGCAATATAGTGAAACAAATTAATGCGTTCAAAAAGGAAATTTGAAGGAAACTTTTAACAAGGGTTCCGGGCAGCCCCAGTATTGGAGCCGCTGACGTGTAGATCAAATAGACTCTGAAGCGTAACAAACTTTATCTCTGAAAACTTACAATATAATAATCCCGCGGCAGGACGTTCTTCTTGCCGAGTGAGTGAATCAGTGCGATGATGGTGTCGTTGATAGGCTGTGGATTATATAACACGTGCTACAAATGTGGATTACATAACTCGTACTATAAATTTGGATTATTTTTATTGTTACATACTATACAATATAGTAAAACAAATTAATGCGTTCAAAAAGAAATTTGAAGGAAACTTTTAACAAACTCTTAACGTGTGAACAGAAAAAGTTTCGACCGAATTTCCGTTCTTTCAAATATCCGTCGATTAATTTTCCGTCAACGAAATTTCTTTCGAACAAATTTCCGGACACTTCAGCAGGCAGACTCAGGAGAAGATCCATCGGGCGGGGGGGGGGGTGGTTTCTGTATTGGTGATACTATGAAACTATCGCTATTCGTGGCGCAAACCCTAGTGGGGTCGCTGCTCTAAGGGGAATCAATGATCAAGAATCCTTTTAGTCGGACCGATGGCTTTTTTGTTAACCGAATTTCCGTTCTTTCAAATATCCGTCGATTAATTTTCCGTCAACGAAATTTCTTTCGAACAAATTTCCGGACACTTCAGCAGGCAGACTCAGGAGAAGATCCATCGGGCGGGGGGGGGGTGGTTTCTGTATTGGTGATACTATGAAACTATCGCTATTCGTGGCGCAAACCCTAGTGGGGTCGCTGCTCTAAGGAGAATCAATGATCAAGAATCCTTTTAGTCGGACCGATGGCTTTTTTGTTTGCCTTCGTGGCGGTACTCATCATACAAAGATAAAGAAGATATTTTTGTGATGTTATCTTATTACTTACAAGCCAAGGTTCGAATGAGCTTCTCCTCCCCACTTGCGCTAAATTGTTCCAATCCAAGATGGGCAGTAATGGCTTCTGCGGATATTTTTTACAACGGTTATCAAATTATTTAATGTGACACGGCGACTGATCAGTGTTCAGGGTACTATTTTTATTATCATTGATATTGAGATATCTTTCTACGCTTAAAAAAAACCCACTCATTTGAAAGGTGCGAATCTATCATCATTATGATATTTGTACACATATATCCTTTACAAAATTTCCCGCACACATAAAAGGCAACCTATATCTATTCGTTGAGTAATTGGAGACCGCCGTGGGAATCGAGATTAAAGGTTCATGGATTTGAACGTGTCCCGTCTCACGGACTTTAAGATGCGCACTTTGGCGTGGGGGGATGTGGGGGGGGGGGCTCCTAGCAGCAGCGGGCTCAAATTTACAACAGTAACTACAATTTCCAAATTTTAAAAAGCAGATATCTTTTTTTTCTCCCAATTTTCACTGTGAATTTTGCAGATTCTGATCATCAATGGTTGATTTAATAACGATGGTTGGGCATCTTAGGGAGGCACTGTATTGAACGAATTATGAACATATTAGTCAGTACATCGTATCTGCTTCAACTTACAAGCAGACTGTCCAGCGTGTTTTTCTTGCCCAACAAATGGATCCAATCAGTGTTGGGTAAAATGGGTTCCTGGACGGGATGGTAAGAATGATAAATGAAAACTTACTGCATAACAAGTTGTTGGAGTATGAAATTATGTAAGTTGACTTTAGTCCCGTTAAGTGGAAGTTAATACGCTCAACATTTTTATTAAACAAAAACAAATTGATGGATTATTTGTTTAAACACAAAATTTTTAGTTTTTGGAGCTTAAAAATTAGATTTGGTTTGTTAAGTGCAAAAACTGAGTTAATAAAAAATCAAACGTTGCTGTCTAAAATAAATATAAATAAATGAGGAATTACACTTTTATCCGATACTTTAAATATTAGTGTAGTTCATTTGTCAAAAAAAAATGTTAAATGAATAATTTCATAAAGAGAAAGGCCCGGACACTTACCACAGCTAGTGTGCCCGCAAAAAGCACTGTCAATAATGCCGCAAAGTACATTCTCCGACTGAAAGATGTAAAAAGTCGAAGATAGTTTTTGTATACACATCGTTTGCATTATTTGAATCTCACCTGTCAGTGTCAACCTTAAGCGGACAATGGCTTCTCTTTACAAAAGTTCGATCGCTGTGTCAATTAACAGTCCTTTACATAGATCTTATAGTTAGTTTCGACACAAACAACTCACACAGCCATCGCACACCCTGCCCCATTTAAACACACCGCCACGAACACAAGCACTCATTTGTCGAATTAAGACATTTATTTTTTTAGCATACTTTATATATAATACTCAATGACAAATTTAAAATAATATAACTATGTCCTTCGAAAGCTGGCGATCTAAACGATATCTACACTTCCCCTTCCGCATAAATGCTTGCAAAATTATTTTGCATTTGTTTAAATTAATCAACGAAAAATTGTAACTGTTTCTGTTCTTCGTGAGGTGAATAAAGGCTAATTACCGATACCACGAGTAACAATTGTACAACTTGATAATTTTTTTGGTCATGATTATTACGCGAAAGAAATGAGAGACAAAAATAAATTTTATTTAAACAAAAAAAAAATTCCAATGTTAAGACCTGTAGTGAAAACATATCGATGAAATGGCTTGCTACAGATTGCATACGAAAATGAGGGAACAATTATTTTTTTTCTAACAGTTTTTACGTTGTTGTTTTTTTCCTTATATTTATTTTCATACAACATGGGCATATTTAGGATGTGTTGAAAGATTCTAATTCATACTTTTTGCAATGAGATTTCTGGTTACTGCTGGCAAAGTCTAGAGCTTCGGTGATACTTACCACTGCAGCCTACTGAGAGAGAAAAGTGAACAGAGACCTAGGCCAAGGGACCCCCAGTTGGCAATAAATAGCTGTTTAAAATTATTGAGAAAAAAAATTATTTAACTCATAACAAGCAATATTTTGAGGTCTGGAAGACATATTGATCACGAGGTGTCTTATCTTATCGCTTAGTTCTATTTTACTCTAACCATCTGGGCGTGCGACAGGTTGTACTTCAGACACATACACAAGCGCATACACTCACACTCACAATCACATAGTCTCTCTCTCTCTCTCAACCACACCACCCCCACCACCACCATGCATTGCTGTCTTAAGACCTGCGGAAGTAATTAAGATTTTGCCTCCCACTGTGGCCCACCTAGGGGGTTCGAAGGGGCTTTGGAGAGTATAGGCAAGCCTACCATAATGATATCAATTGATGTTGGTGTGTGTTGGACGTGGCACATTTGGTTACTCGCAAGTTGGATATAATGTCATTCAAGATACGCCAATGGTTCTCCCCCCCCCTTTTTTTGGAGCTCATTAGGATGTTTTAAATGAAAGAAGGGTAATATAATGAAAACACAAAGTAAACTTGTTCTTAGAAAAAGCCTACAGCCTATATTACAGCCTATATTACAGCCTATATTACAGCCTATATTACAGCCTATATTACAGCCTATATTACAGCCTATATTACAGCCTATATTACAGCCTATATTACAGCCTATATTACAGCCTATATTACAGCCTATATTACAGCCTATATTACAGCCTATATTACAGCCTATATTACAGCCTATATTAAAATTCAAAAAGCTTCATAAATTGAAGATATAGTTTTTGTTGTCACTTTTAATCTATCAGTGACAGAGGCCACAATTATAATTAGTCGTTTGGTTAGAGGATTCATTCTAGCAAGTTGTTTTTTCCCTCTTGCTACATCCGGCTCCTGGATAATACCAAGAGCTGATTGCTTAAGGCTCCAAATCAAGGAACATGCAAACAACACTTTAAAGTTATAAAAGTTTTAAAGGTCTTTATTGATATAATGTTTTTAACCCCTCTTCAATTTGACATCGGTTAAGTGATTTTTCTTTCATCATCATCAGTGGCACTCCAGTCCAGAGCGTGTGTCACAACATCCTTCCATTCAGGAGCAAGCCATGGATTTCCACATCCATGCGCAGAACCCCAGCTGGTGTAAGTCCTTCCCCTACATCGTCATTACATCTCAATTTTTGTCTCAGGCGTCTGCACCTGCCAGTAAATCATTTAAAATACTCATTACACGAACACTCAAAATATTTTAAATTTTTTTTAGATGTTTAGTATGTCACAGCTTCCCAGTCCCTATCAAACAAGAAAACTCAACTGTTCTGCTTGACCAGCTCACAGAAAAAGCAACGAAGTTGCTAGTACGATCAAGTTGTGGAACGAGATTTTATCATATATCTTCTCTCGATTAACCCAGATTTTGAACTCTACCATGACAGTCAAAAAAAAGTAAATAAATAACAATAACTTACCTACCAGCTTAACCAGAAAAAAAAATCCTAAAGATGTCTCTGTAAACATTTACAATCACGTGACCAAGATAAGAGATAAATCAAAATTGTGAATGTTCGTTGGTAGAGAACTTTGGTTTTGTTTTTAACTGAACTTTAATTCACAAAACTGTATAGGGATCAGGAGAATATTTTTTTAAAGCAAACAAAAATCTTAACAATGTCTCGGTGACCATTTACAATCACGTGATCAAGAGAAGAGATAAATCAAAATTTTGAATGTTCATTCGTAGAGAACTTTGGTTTTGTTTTTAACTGAACTTTAATCCATAAAACTGTGTAGGGATCTGAAGATTAATTTTTAATTGTTTTTTTTAAAGCAAAAAAAAAATGGAAACAAACAAAAAAAGAACCAAAAGTAGTTAAGATATTGTTTTGGTGTCTCAGGATAAACTCTAAAAACGTTTGTCTCAGATTCAACTTTAAAAATTAGTGTCTCAGGATCCACTCTAACATTGGTGTCTCAGGATCCACTCTAAAATTGGTGTCTCGGGATCCACTCTAAAATTGGTGTCTCAGGATCCACTCTAAAAATTAGTGTCTCAGGATCCATTCTAAAATTTGGTGTTTCAGAATCCACTTTCAAAATTGGTGTCTCAGGATCCACTCTAAAATTGGTGTCTCAGGATCCACCCTAACATTTTGTGTCTCAGAATCCACTCTAAAATTTTGTGTCTCAGGATCCACTCTAAAAATTGGTTTTCTCAGGACCCACTCTAAAAATTGGTGTTTCATAATCCACTCTAAAAAATTAGTGTATCAGGACCCACTCTAAAATTTGGTGTTTCAGGATCCACTCTAACATTGGTGTCTCAGAATTCATTTTAAAATTTGTGTCTCAGGATCCATTCTAAAAGTTGGTGTTTCAGAATCCACTTTAAAAAATGGTGTCTCAGGGTCCACTGTAAAAATTAGTGTCTCAGGACCCACTCTAAAAATTTGTGTTTCAGAATCCACTCTAAAAATTAGTGTATCAGGACCCACACTAAAATTTGGTGTTTAAGGATCCACTCTAAAATTGGTGTCTCAGAATCCATTATAAAATTTGTGTCTCAGGATCCATTCTAAAATTTGGTGTTTCAGAATCCACTTTAAAAATTGGTGTCTCGGGATCCACTCTAAACTTTTGTGTCTTAGGATCCACTCTAAAAAATGGTGTCTCAGGATCCACTCTAAAATTTTGTGTCTCAGGATCCACTCTAAAAATTGATTTTCTCAGGATCCACTCTAAAACTTGGTGTTTCAGGATCCACTCTAAAAATGGGTGTCTCAGAATCAACTCTAAAAATTAATGTCTCAGGATCCACTCTAAAAACTAGTGTCTCAGGATCCAATATAAAAATTGGTGTTTCAGGATCCACTCTAAAAATTGGTGTCCCAGGATCCACTCAAAAAAATGATGTCTCAGGAACCAATTTAAAAATTGGTGTCTCTGAATCAACTATAAAAATTTGTGTTTCAGGATCCACTCTAAAAATGTGTGTCTCAGGATCAACTTTAAAAATCTGTGTCCTAGAATCCACTTTAAAAATTGGTGTCTCAGGATCCACTCTAAAAATTGGTGTTTCAGGATCCACTCTAAAAATTGATGTGTCAGGATCCACTCTAAAAATTAGTGTTTCAGGATCCACTCTAAAAATTGATGTTTCATGATCCACTCTAAAAATTAGTATCTCAGAATCCACTTTAAAAATTTGTGTCTCAGGATCCACTGTAAAAATTGGTGTCTCTGAATCCACTCTAAAAATTGGTGTTTCAGGATCCACTCTAAAAATTGGTGTCTTAGAATCAACTCTAAAATTGTGTGTTTCGGGATCAAATTTAAAAATTGATGTCTCAGGATCCACTCTAAAAATTGGTGTCTCAGGATCAACTCTAAAAATTGATGTCTCATAAGCCACGTTAAAAATTGATTCCTCCAGATCATCTGTAAAAAATGATGTCTCAGGATTTACTTTAAAAATTCATTGATGTCTCAGGATTCACTTTAAAATTGATGTCTTCGGATCCTCCATAAAAATGATATCCCCGGATCCTTTTAAAAAATTTATTTTTCTGATCCACTTTGAAAATTGATGTCCCAGTAGTCACTTTAAAAATACATTACTATCTACGTATTCACTTCAAAAAAATGATGTCTCGGAATCCATTTTAAAAATGATTTCTCAGAATCCACTTTAAAAATGATGTCTCAGAATAAACTTTAAAAATGGATGTCTCAGAATCCATTTTAAAAATGATGTCTCAGAATCCACTTTAAAAATTGATGTCTCACTTTTAAAAAATAATGTCTCAGATCAACTTTAAAAATGGTGTATCAGGATTCACTTTAAAAAAATTGATATCTTTGCATTCCCTTTAAAAAAATTTTTTTTTAAACATTTGTGTTTTTGTTTTTTAAGACTAACTGTAAAGTGCAACAATCGTTTGAAGGGAAAAGTTCAACATTTTGACTGGGATGAACCCATTTTCTGTTGATTCGTGTGGTCTTGAAATTTGGAACTCGATATCAGTTTACCAGGAGTAGGGATAAATGGTTAAAGGGACAAATTCCTTTTTTTTTTGTTGCTACCACTAGACAAGTATTACAAATAACACATAAGGCTGGACTGGATGTTTCTAGCTTTGGGTGTTTGTATCGGTATGATCGGCGTTAAAAGTTGTTAGGCTGTATATGGAAGAAAGGAAAATAAATGTGTAAAATGTGTATGAATTTCTTGTTCTATACTTTGTATGAATTTCTTGTTCTATACTTTGTATGAATTTCTTGTTCTATACTTTGTAGGAATTTCTTGTTCTATACTTTGTTTGAATTTCTGGTTTTATACATATAACCGAATTTCATTTTCCTGTGCATTTTTTTTTTCTTTTTCCCCCCAGACCCCAGCTATACCCAACCTTAATGGTCTTCAAATTCTTGGCAAGCGACTCTTGCTTGAAAATGTAACTAACACGAGTTCAAGTGGTGTACATTATTACGCCGTTCCATGAGGCTTCTTTGATTGAAAAGAATGTCTTACAAGTGTGGTATTTGTTAAATTCCCAATATGATTATGTTTTCGTTCGTTTCCCCTCGTTCACGGAAGCATGGTGTCATGGCGTTAATTTTTTTTTTTTTTTTAAATAATAAATCTGACCATCAGATGTAATGTACCTGATCTTACTCAAAGTCCGTCACTCACTAATTTTACTCACTAGACGGTATGCTGAACCTCTTACCGTCTATTCACCCCTTCGTGAGCTTCGCTCCTCCGCAGACACGCGTATTCTTTCTGTTCCCAGAACACGCACTAAAACATATGGTGAACCATCCTTCTCTTTCTGTGCCCCAAAAAAGAATGGAATTCTTTCCCATTACGCATCCGACAGTTTGGGGGGTATGTAAGTTAAACGTAAATCATTGCATTGAAAAATGCGCGACGGTTGAAATCCGGGAAATAGGTTTATATTTGTTTCTTTTAATTGTAACATTAGTCAGTAAAAAGCCAAGGGTATGGCGAAGGACTGTCTGTAGGACTGTGGGTATGAATATTGCTTAAAGACAGGCAGGTAGGGTGTGCGACTGTCTGTGGCCCTATTGCTTAAAGGCCGTCAGGTAAGGTGTAGGACTGTCTGTAGATCCATTGCTTAAAAACCGGCACATATTATAGAAAATGAGAGGTTCACACTTTTTGTGTAACACTTGGACCCATCTGGGTAGTTTCTCCAGTGTAAAAAAAAAGAAGATTTTCACCCGGTTTAGACTAAAGGCCTCAAATTATCATATTCTGATATGGTGACGCCATTGGAAACTTGCCAATAAAAATACATTTGGCATTATTTTTGAATTTCGAATTGCATTAAAAAAAAATTGGATCAAATTATAAAAAACCCTCAGGTGTTAATTACTAATGTATACTAATATCATGCTTATAAAAATACCCTCAAACCTAAGCAGCGGCCAGAATGGATCCCATGGGACATAACAACGAAAATGAATTTAATAAATCTATTTTTATGTTCTGGAGTCGTCGAAGCAAGAGTTTGCTCCATAATGGCTGTTTTCTGGTTACCGGAAATTTGAAAGAAATTTCGTCCACGGAAAATTGATCGACGGATATTTGATCAAACGGAAAATTGGTCGAATCTTTTTTTCAGTTCACACGTTTAAATTTTCGTCAAATTTCTTTTTGAACCCTCTATACTATATAGTAAAACAAAATAATTTAATAAAGTAAAAACGAAATTCGGCGCAACATTTTAACGTGTGAACTGAAAGAGAAAAAAAAGATTCGACTTAATTTTCCGTTCGATCAAATTTCCGTCGATCAATGTTCTTTCGACGAAATTTCTTTCAAACAAATTTCCGGATACGCTGTTTTCTGCACTGATAGATGCCCTCCCCCCCCCCACCGAGCTTCTGAAACTTACTGCCCCCTCACACCCCCACCTCCGGAACTCTTTGCATGAAAGAACACTTGATACGGTGTGGTGGGACGTGGGATTGTAAAGCCTGAGCTCTGTGTCTCCCAATCATTTCTGTAGGAGACTTCGTCCTACGTCCAGCTGGTGTGTAGGCCTAAGATAGACCTGGGCGATAAGACTAGACGACTCGTGATTTTCAAGCCCCGTTTAAATTGTAATTTTTATTTTAAAAATGTAATTTTTTTTTTCAATGAATAGTTTTAAAAATCTATTTAAAGGCCAACTGGGTCTATTTCTCTGGGGTTCAATAAATGTTTCGCTTCCTATAAGCTGCAGTAGTAAGTATCTTTTAAACTTTATTGTTAGCCAGCGGCCATCAGACATTTTAAGTTTAATAAGTAAAAATGCGGTTTAACACAAATTTTCAAAATATCTTACTTTATTATCTTTTTTAAAGTACGAAATATAAATAGAAACCAGAAGAAGAAAAATTCATTCAAAATGAATCGTCATTCTGATTAACTTTAATTTCATGTTACCATAAATACATAACCTGACATTAATCATTATAAATTATTATAAATAGCAACAAAAATATATGTGCATAAAGATATCAAAGAATGTATAAGTTTTAAGATTCCCCAAAAAAAAAAAAAAAAAAAATATTAATAATAATGGAAATGGAATGCTGACTACTGTCTTCTTGTAATACAACTGTAAGGTTTTAAACAAATTTTCGAACATTGGTATACTCTTACGACAAGCCTGAGTGCTACGATGCTAAGGCCTTTTTAAAATTGTATTTAGCACTGCGTGTAATATGGATGGTGTACGACCTGGTGAGGTGAGAGGGTGAGTTAATTCCGCGTTTGTGTCATTGGTCTCTGTCGTCAACTTGACTGTGTAAACGTGGATTGGGTGACATTCCAGGAAATGAAAGAAAGTATTTAGATTGAGTCTATACTTTTTTTTCAACGGAAACATATATAACATTGAGACTGTCTCAATTGGCCTCACACAACTTACTGGAATCGAGCTTAGAAACAATTCATTTGATTTTGGAATGTACCGGAGTTGATAAAAGTGGACGTGATCCAATGTCAAGCGAGTCCGTTCTACACCTATTTGGACGTACCCCATGGCATTTTCGAAAAAAATCATTTCAAGTTGTTGTCACTTGTCACTATTGAAGTTTCCAAGCAATGTGGCCTGTGGTTACTTGTAACTATTGAAATGACCAACCATTGTAACCGGTGGTAACTTGCCACTATTGAAGTTACCAACCAATGTGACCAGTGGTCACTTGTAACTATTGAAATGACCAACCATTGTAACCGGTGGAAACTTGCCACTATTGAAGTTACCAACCAATGTGACCAGTGGTCACTTGACACGATTAAAATGACCAACCATTGTGACCGGTGGTTACCTGTGGCTATTAAAGTGGCCAACAAATGAAACATACTACAAAAAAGATTCAAGAATGGGATTGAAAAGTCCTTGTCAGCTTGTCCACATTTTCTCATATTGATTTTTAAAAAGAAATACAACGCAGATGCGTTACTCCGAAGTCGCCATTTCTTGATTTGAAGCGCAAACAGAAAAAAAAAACAAAATAACAAGAAACATTGGAAGCGCAAACTGCCAAAGATAGTTTACCTCTTTTTTTTAACTTTAAAAAAAGTGTGTTTATTTGTTGAAATATTTCAGAAAACAGAATGTATTTTCTTGTACTGTTTACTGCGCTTCTTGTGGGCACGCTCGCTCAGGTTAGTGTACCAGTCTAGTGTACAACATTTTATATAAGTGTATTAACATTAGATACGAAAAACATCAGAAATTGTTTTAACATCATTGAGTGACACTTAAATGTAGATAGCGTTCTGTTCAATTTCTAAGTTTCAACAGGTAAAACTAGATACCTACATTATTCATTTTTTTAATTGGATGGGATTTTTTTAGTTAATTGAAAATGAAATTAGTTGTTATTTAATGGGGGAAAAATCGAAATATTAATATCAATTTAGTGATGGAAAAAATTTAAGTTGGGCTCACATATTATATTGCAATTGATCTTTACATTTTTCACTAAATACTTTTTCTTAAGGATCCCATTCTACCCAACAATAATTGGCTACATTATCTGGGGAAGAAAAATGCTTTGCTTGACCCTCTGATCGTAAGTAGAGATGGAGATTTACAACTAGTTAATCCTTAATTAAGGACTCAAATATGTTACCTCTCAAAGAGATGTTACCAAATGGGTTCAGCTGAACACCCCTGAGATGGACACTACTCAACAAATCATGACGCTTAAATCCATAGACGCCCTGGGTCATTAAAACAGCTTTTTACCGCGAACTCGACAATTCGTCACGACTCTTTGTAAATCAATTATTTTAATGTAAATGAGACAGCCATAAGAACAGTGGGGGGGGGGGGAATGTATTCTTTAAAAGAAAAAATCTCACATCAATCTGAATGTTTCCTCAGACCCCCATCTTACCCTTTGACCTGAGCAAGTTTGAGCTCCTGAGCAGGAGGAGCGCCGTTGACTGGTTGTTGGTGAGTCATACGATAAGCCGCAGCACGTTTCTGGTCTCACTGCGCACCACCGAAACCGTGACGGATGGCTTGAAACGTCTCGTCAATCTGGTGTCCGGCTTGGAGTGGCAAATGATTAGTTGTGTTCTGAAAGTAGCAGCTACTGAATGCGTTCATGACAAAAAAAAACGATACGTGTATTCGCTTGTTCTCGTTTTTAGGAATACGCGTCAGGGGGGTGGGTTTTTTTTTTTTTTCTTTTTTTTTTTCATAGAGGAGGGGTGTGAGGGGCGCTAAGATGAGTTGAGATTCAGTTGATCATGGGCTCCACATGTCGCATTTAAAGAAAGGCATAAGATAAAACTAAGAAGAAAGTCATCTTGTGGCTCCAGATAATGTTTCTTCTTTATCAAGCATTTTCTTTAATAAATAATGGGCCGATTCAAAGATCCTATTATCATTACTCAATCTCCTCCCGTGTAAAATGGGGTGATCTGAATAATATTAAGTTAGTACAATGTTTAGAGCAGCTACTGTAATCCTCAGCCTGACAACGGAACACTTCTTCAATGGATTCATTTGCTGGGCAGAAAAAGCGTCCTTCTTGATCCCTTGATTGTAAGTAAGAGATTGACAACTTCTATTTTAAGCTATTCTGTCTGCACGGCACAAGAATGTCAAATCTATTCTATCCACATGGCACAAGAATATCAAATCTATTCTATCTACACGGCACAAGAATATCAAATCTATTCTATCTACACACGGCACAAGAATATCAAATCTATTCTCTCTACACCGCACAAGAATTTCAAATATATTCTATCTACACGACACAAGAATATCAAATCTATTCTATCCACATGGCACAAGAAAATCAAATCTATTCTATCTACACGGCACAAGAATATCAAATATATTCTATATACACGGCACAAGAATAACAAATCTATTCTATCTACACGGCACAAGAATATCAAATCTATTCTATCTACACGGCACAAGAATATCAAATATATTCTATCTACACGGCACAAGAATAACAAATCTATTCTATCTACACGGCACAAGAATATCAAATCTATTCTATCTACACGGCACAAGAATATCAAATCTATTCTATCTACACGGCACAAGAATAACAAATCTATTCTATCTACACGGCACAAGAATATCAAATCTATTCCATCTACACGGCACAAGAATATCAAATCTATTCTATCTACACGGCACAGGAATATCAAATCTATTCTATCTACACGGCACAAGAATATCAAATCTATTCTATCTACACGGCACAAGAATATCAAATCTATTCTATTTACACGGCAAAAGTATATCAAATCTATTCTATCTACACGGCACAAGAATATCGAATCTATTCTATCCACACGGCACAAGAATATCAAATCTATTCTATTTAGACGGCGCAAGAATATCAAATCTATTCTATCCACACGGCACAAGAATGTCACACAATATCCTTCGAAAATAATTTCTTTTAGGTTATTTTTTATCTTTCAATGCATTGATTTACGTTTAACTTACGTACCCCCAAACGGTCCAATTAACATGAGTTCGTCCAACAATCCTTACTCCCAAACTGTCCAATTAACATGAGTTCGTCCAACAATCCTTACTCCCATGAATATCACACAAGGTCCTTCGAAATATTTTTTTTTAAAAGTTATCTTTAATTTTTCAATGCAATGATTAACGTTTAGATTTATTAATACGTAACCCCCTCCACCCCCACCCCCAACAAACTATGCAATTAAGCTGAGCTCTTCCATCATTTCTTACCCCCAAACAATGAAATTAAGCTGAGTTCGTAAAACCTTTTTCATTTTTATGGCTGCTCTAAATTCAAGTGCTAGATGTATATATCAGCTAACGGTGGATTTTTTTCTTTCTTTCTTCCTGTTTATCTGGATACTAGATTAACATTGTTTCACGTCTTTTATTTTTTTTAATTTACTTTTATCAGAACCAACTTCTACCCATAAACCCCCAATGGATCAATCTTCTGGGCAAGAGAGCTGCCAACTGCATCGAGGATCCAACTCTATCCATAAACCCTCAATGGATCAATCTCCTGGGAAAGAGATATACCAGCTGCATCGAGGATCCACTTCTATCCCTAAATCCTCTATGGATCAATCTTCTGGGCAAGAGAGCTGCCAGCTGGAGTGATATCGTCAAAGTAAGTAAACTAAACAGCCATAGTGTTAAAAAGCTTGAGCCCTCTCGTGCCCACTTAAATGGATCAGTGTGGATATTTCACGCTCAGTGCTTAAGGATAACAGCTAGATGAGTTGTTTTTTTTTTTTTTTTTTTTTTTTTTTTTTTAACCTTGAAAGTATCTGCATATTACCAAAAACATTTAGTGAAAAGATATTTTTAAAAGAATTCTCATTGACTCTAGCCACAGGTTGCTTTAGAAAAGCCGAGTTTGTTTTGACGTCCGTATGTTTAAAAAATTGAACTGAAGTTTAAATGAAGTATATTGTTAATAGGAGGAAGAAAAAAAATGGTAGGCGCGTCAGTATGCTCCAGATTGGCACCTGGTCACTTTTTTAAAACGAAATGCACCGAGGCGTTGCCTATCACTTAAAATAAACTAATCTTTTTTAAATGTATAAACTTAACTTTACTATAAAATGAAGTTTTAAATGGAAAATTATTTCTTTCTTATTTCGTATCTTACATTTTAAAAGAAAGGAACGATTCCCTGCCCACCCCAAAACCCCCTCCCCCCACCCCCAACTCGTACTTTTATTCCATAGGCTGCCCTTTCAACCATCGATAACTTGAAGGAAATTCCGTTTCCTAGCAAAAAAAGGATTACTTCGTTAGACTCCTTGCTGGTGAGTACAACTTCATGAAACACTTGGTATTAAGCATCCACAACGCAGTCAAATTTAGAACATAATTTGATAAATTCAGAACTGTAACTTACCTGACCAGGGGTCACAAGATTAAAGTAAATACCATTTAAAAACAAACAAACAAACTTCAAGCCTATACGACATATGTATTTGAAATAATAAAACAAATTTCTAAGAGCCATTCACCGGAGAATTAATGATCATATCTTTACAAACATCAACGGTTAACTTTGTCTATGATCAGCTGATGCATTAAAAAAAAAATATTTTTTTTTAATTTAACAATGAACTAATTCAAATGTATGGCATATTCCTCAGGCGAACATTGATTGGAATAAATTACAGCCACTGTTATCTAGCAAGAAGCGTGACATCGTTTATGATCCCTTTTCAATATTCAACCCTTTAATTTTAAGCAAGAAAGGATTCGACCAACTCTCTAACCCGTTTCTTATGAACCCAAGTCTGATCGGACGAAAGAAGCGCCGTGAGGCCATCGCCGCCCCGAATCTTAACGAGGCCGCGTTACAAAACGGTAAAGGACTCCTGGGACAGCCATTGGGCAAGAGGCAGATAGACTCCATCATTAAACCTATTGACACTGGGTTCCCTTGGTTGAATACTGTCAGCCCTAATTGGATCCTCAGCAAGAAACGACGCCAGTCCATCATTGCCCCACTGGGGACAAGTATCTGGGGCAATGGATTGCATAACCCACTTACAGACGTGATTGCAAGCAGGAGAAATCTGGAGTCCATCATTGCGCCCACCGACTCGGGGATCATTCCTTTCAACCCTAATCTGATCCTTAGCAAGAAGCGCCGCCAGTCCATCGTCAGTCCAACATATGTTTTGGGACAACCCACTGGCCATTATCCACTTATAGATCTGATCCTTAGCAAGAAGCGCCGTCAGTCCATCGTCAGTCCAATATACATTTTGGGACAACCCACTTATCATTCACTTACAGATGTTATCGCTAGCAAGAGGACTACTGAGTCCATTGCTCAACAAAGTGGCACTGTGTTCAATGGGATCATCCCTTTTGACTATAATCTTATCCTTAGCAAGAAACGTGATGTCGTTTTTGATCCTTTGAATATCAACCCATTCATCATCAGCAAGAAACGTGATGTCATCTTCGATCCTTCGAATACCAACCCATTCATCATCAGCAAAAAAAGGGATTTTGTCTTCGACCCACTCCATCCTAACGTCGTCAGCTAAACATGCAATGTAGATCCACTGATCTCAGATCTCATTCACCCCATCAAAGACGAATACTATTTTTATAAACTTCAGAATTATGACAAATCTAATTATAAGTCCAATTAATATTCCCAAAGTAAGTAGTATAATTATTATTTTTTTACTTGTAATTCATTTCAAGATTTGTGGCTGAATGGGAATAAATAAAGAAAAATGTATTCACATGTTAAGATATATAAAAAAACAACAACTCAGAAATGTATTAGGTATTAAGTATTCAAACTATAGAAGTCCTCAAGTTTCACTTAGTGTGAACGCAAACAAAATGTGGTTCATCGTTTCCTTTGAGTAAGTCTCGAGCATAAAATAAAGAGCCGTTTGATTGATATATTTTTGTTTTTTGTTTTCAGTGTTCTCATTGTTGTGTGTTTCCTAAATATCTTCTGAAATTGTTTTCCATTCAATTCGTTTAGCGCAGTTGAGAACCTCGTTTGCTGGTGATGTTTTCATGAGACTTGCTGAGTAATATAAAGAAGTAAAAAATTTGTAACATTTAAACAATGTATTTAATATATATATATGTTACCGGCAATGTGTGAAATGCAGGCATTGTATAGAATGCCTAGGCATTATATAGAATGCCTGGCGGTTTTAGGCAAAGTATGAAATATTTTATTTTCGTGATTAAGTTACATACTTTGCCTAGGCATTTTATACATTGCCTAGGTATTATATATAATGACAAATATAATTCAGGCAAAGTTTCAAAAGAGCGTAAAGAATTTTTTTTATTGGAAAAACACATTTGAATACGAAAGATAACAATAAAACTGGAAAGCAAAGGTGTCATTGAGCTACTTGTTGCAGCAAGTAAGGCTCGAGTGGCATTTTGAATTGCACTTAATTTTATTTTTCAAACAAAGACACTTTATATTTTGGCACCTGGTCTTGCACATATACGTCACGTATCCTTGACCGCTTCCTGTTGACTGAGAGATAGCTGCAGATTGGAGAGGTATTTAATGGGCCGGGACGTCTTCAACCCTCAATAAATCTTTTGGACATACAGTGAACTGTGATATCGAATGCAATTGTTTCAAGATTCCGTGTGCAGTTCCAAGTCGGTAAAAGCCGTATTCTGTCTCTGTCATAACAACTGCCAACAGATTGCGCGAGTCACACCGTCCCTTGTCAACGTCAGGAATAGGAACTCGCACAGTGGCTCCTAAAGGTGCAGAAGGGAATTTTTTTATCAGAGTTTATTTTCATTTTTTTGGTCTGGATTTCAAGATTCGATTTAGATTCTTTTCTAGCATCTATAGCTCGCTTTATCTTGAAACACAAGCTGCACAAAATACCAACACCATAACCTTCTATTTCCTCGTCTCCATCGTCTTTAGCAGCATTCCCACAGATCACATGACATTACGGGGACAGTTTCGGCATGCAAGGGCACCGCCGCTTTCTTTTAAGCAGACACAACAAACACCCGAAGTGGAAGGCTCTTCGGTAACCATGACGTCACAATCAGTTTGGTTTCCTCCATTACTGGTTGCATTCTCTTCAGTATTCTTTATAGCAGGCTCTGTATCTTGCATCTGACGATTGGCTTCCTCCTCCTGTGTTGTTTTTACGCTTTCTATTATTTTTTCGAGTTCTTTCTCAGTCTGTATGTCTTGCAAAACGTCAGGGGGTATGGAAGACGTTGCAATGCCCACTTTAGCTTTGCAACCAAACAGAGCTTCATAAGGCGTTCTCTTGATCCCAGAATGAAAGGCCATGTTATTCATAAGGCATTCTCTTGATCCCAGAATGAAAAGCCCTGTTCTTCATAAGGCATTCTCTTGATCCCAGAATGAAAGGCCCTGTTCTTCATAAGACGTTCTCTTGATCCTAGAATGAAAGGCCCTGTTCTTCATAAGTTGGATGAATCGTAATCCCTCAGCCCAGTGGTCAGTTTTTTGTTACCTTGCATCCAAGCACATAGCATGTTTTCGATGTCTTGATTAGCTCTTTCGACACTGCCCTGGCTTTGTGAGTGGCACGGTTTACCATGGACGATCTTCAACTTGGGCCAGTACTTCTTTAGGCTGTTCACCACATTGTTGGTCAATTCCCGGCCATTATCGGACTGTAGAATTGATGGAGCTCCAAGCAGCGTAAATATTTCCACTAGTGTGTAGGCTACCTCTTCGCCCTCTTGGATGTTAAAGCCCTCAGAACCACAAACTTTGTGAGATGATCTTGGTACACCATTATACATTTATATTCCCTGTCAGGATGGGATTGAAAATCGATAAGATCGACCTGACCACGGGAGTTGAATTCAGCAAAAATCATAGGCTTCACCACAACACCCTTTGTGACACCTTTTTGTTTCTTCTGGCACGGCTCACAAAGGTGGAGGTAAAGTTCAATATCATTACGTGTAATGCTCTTATACTTGTGTGAAAGTTCTTTCAACATTCTGTCCCTTCCTCCATGTCCCACGGCCAAATGAGCCTCGTGAAGTACGTCAAATAATTCTGAATCCGTGACATAGAACTGAATAGCACTGTCGCCTTCTTTAACAGGATAGATCAACTTGCTTTTGTTCTCTACCGCCATTAAATCAGAGCGTTTCAGCAGCCAATAGTCTCGTGGTTTCCTCCGAGTTGTCATCCGAGCCATTTTCACATCATCCACTAATTTTTGGTAACTAGTTTCCGTTAGAGAAACGCAGTTTTTAGCAGTGTTGGCTCGTAATTGAGAAAGTTCATCGTAGAACCGCCGTTGCATGTCAACATACCGTGATTCCTGATCTGAAGCTACAATCTGATCTTCCAACATCTCGGCAGCCATCTTGAAACAATAGGGGTAGCGTCTTTGGCGGGAGTACGAAGCATGTGTGTCGTGATCACAACGCCACCACCAAGCAACGAATCCAACATGAATGGCGGGGTATTCTATACATTGCCGGGTCGCTCTTAGGCATTATATAGAATGCCTAGGAAATGTGTAAAATATAAACCATTTCATACGTTGCCTACAATTTTCAGGCATTCTATAGAATACCTAGGCATTCTATAAAATGCCGGATTTCACACATTGCCGGTAACATATATATATATATATATATATATATATATATATATATATATATAATATATATATGTCCGAGAGAGCAACATTAGGTCACCGTCTGAAGCAACTATTCCGTGCCCACTGTGTCATAGATTATTCCGAGCAAGGATCGGTCTAGCAAGCCACCTACGAGCTCACCGTAATCCCAACCTCCCCCTAACCGGATGACTCGATGGTCCTAGTCGACTTCGACGGACGAACAACATATATTTGTATATATATAAAGTATTGATGAAGTGGGTGGAAGAGATGGTTTGCCCATGTTGCCACTAATTAACTATATATTGAGTGCCAGCATTTTTTTTGCTCCCCCCCCCAAACAAAAAAGGACTTTCCTTTTTGGGGAAGTAAGGGTGGCCGAGCGGTGCGAACTTAGTCAATCCCAAGATTGTCGCCTGGCGTTCAATTCCCAGTAGAAAGCCTAGACATGCCAAAAACAAAACCTGCATCTCGGCTGGATGGGACACTTTAACCTTAGTTGGGCACTCACCTAAGAGAGCGCAAACTCTGGAATCAAACCCGAAGATGGAGTCCCGTAGGTGCGACGACACGGACTCATTGAAAATTCTGACAGCTCCTGCGACGTAGAACGCATGAAGAGCACAGTGAGACCCAAGAATCGTTGCTGGTCATCCAATGCTTACAGGTCTATTTCCAATAATATATTCCTTTAAATAAAAATCTGATATCTCACAAATGACAGTTGTTTGGCTTTGGTTGTGAATGTAAAAATCGTGATTGAGCCTTGAAGTGAGTGTAGAGAGATAAGTATCGTGACAAACCTTATCAATTGGTTTGTTTTTCAACAGGGGTCATGACTTGAGATGATGTAGACTACATCATATATAAAACATGACTTTTAATGAGAAGGGGGGGGGTGCGACCGTTTGATGGGTATGACTTGGTAAATCAGTGTTCTTAACAAACTCTAATGTAACGATTTTTTTTTTTTAAATTCAAAGCTGATGAGGCGAGCCGTTCTGAAGAAAGCCAGGGTCGTAAGAGTGTAAGCTCGACCCAGCAAGAGAATGTCATTATTATTTCTTTTATTTTTCGTTTTCAAAACTTTCTATTTATTTTTCTGTCAATGAAATGGCATCAAGGATAGCTTCTTTTTTTTTTCCTTGGTTCAATTTTTACCAAAATATTCACAGATCTCTTTGAAATATTCTTAAAATTAACTTAATTTATTAAAAACACAAATATTGAAAATTATGTCATCTGTAAAATGTATTCTTTCACTCTCAACTACAACGGCAAATCTCTTTTCTTTTTTAAATCCTGGAGAAAAATAAATGAAGGGTGGCTGTGTGATTGGTGAAGACACACTAAAAAGATACAATATTTTTAATAAATTCTTTGCCTCTGCGTCTATTGAATTTTTCCTTTTCTTTCTTTTTATTTCATTTTTTAAAAGTTGTATCTTTTACTAAAATGTATGTGGGGATGCGCCTGGGTCCCATTCATCTGAGATGACCTCGTCTGTCATCTAGATGAAACACCATGAATTTAATGGAAAAAGTCCCTAACAAAAAGTTGTATGGTTGTTTTCACACCAGATTGCAATCATGGCCAAGCAGGTGAACTGAAATTATTTTCAGCAGTCGACCACTGACAACAGATTGGCAAAGCGTGGTTTTTTTTTAAATATTTAAATATTGGTTTAATTTGGACTCCACTACTACCATGTAACCTGTGCCTGTTCACGACCTACTAGAACTCTAGTGAGTCATGGCCTGTTAAACCATGGCATAGGCCTCCCTACACTCAATTTTGAAAACAGTAGGCCAAACTATTTGATTTAAATCATTACGCCATGAACTATTACACGTTTATAATTATAGTCTAGATTTAGTTGCACAGATTGTTTTTTATCAAGGAAATCAATAATTATCCCTAAAGTTAAAGCCCACGATCAATTCATCAAAATCCTAAGAAAGGCCCTGGTGACAGAACATAAGGAGGTGCGGTATTAAATACAGGCAAAAATGGGACGGAAAAGAGGAAAAGAAAGTCCACTGCGATTGGTCGTTACGAGGAATAGGTCTCAATTTGTAAAGAGTAACCAACTCAGCATCCTAAACGTGATATGTTTGAGCCCCATTGTAAAAACAGACACTCTCGAGACCAACAAGGTTATTTCCTAAATGTGAAACCTCCATGGCCATGGATCTGTCAATAAATAGACATGATATTAATCAGTTTGTTGAAAACGTGGCACGATCAGATGTTTCTTTGTGGACTTTAAAGGAAGCTTTAGACAGTTATTGTCGCACTGTAAATCAATCTTTGAAAACCCGGGGAAGAAATAAAAATTGAATAAATCCAAAACAAAACTTAACTACTTTTTAAAAAATATATATATATTATCCTTGCACTAGTTGAGGAAAAATTAGCAGTCGTTGGCTTCGTGATCAACTAGGCACTGATTTTGCTTTGTCTGTAACTTTTTATTGCAAGCGGTGAAAGTGCTCTCGCAATCTGTGGCTTTGATTATACACACTGACTTTCAGACCACGATCGATTAACCGAACAGAGACTGGCACTGACAACAAATGCAACACGTTTATCAAAAGTACAGCTAGGCCCTACTTGATCATTGATAAGCCTATTCTTTAAAACTAGTTGATGGAAGTATTAAAACTGTTGAATTTGCGGCCCGTTCACTAATGAAATTTAAACAAATTAAATATTTTAATTTTTTTATATTATTAAATTAAAGGTTGCATAAATATTATAAAAGAACTTTACTATTTAATAACAATTCAAAATAAAAAATATGTATAAAAAAATAACCAGGTGAAGGGGCCCTTACATTTTACAGCATTTCTGTGTGGATCAATCGATTAAGTGGAGATCGATGCCTAAATACATTCAGGTATGCGCAAAATGAATCCTTGTATTTTGAATTTATACAAAAAAATGTTCGGGAGGGGCCTACCCCTACCTAGGACCCGCACTTTGGTTTGGCTCGGGAGTCTTCGACTCTGGTCAAAGTGAACTGCCAGCACTTTACTATAAGCAGTAAGAACAGGATATAACTCAAACCTTGGGACCAAAGCAAAGCTGGTGTTATTTGCAGGATTACGTTAATTCTAACGTTCTGGGGTGAGTTGGCGCATATGTCAGCAGTGGCGTAGCGAGGGTGTTTGGCGCCCGGGGACAAGATTCGCGCCCGGGGACAAGCTCCATTTTTAGCGCCCCTTTTTCTTTTTTTTTCAACTCTCAAACCCATTATATTCATCAATAAAATAATATCAAAGCACATTTTTGCGCCCCTAACTAGCTGGCGCCCGGGGACATCTGTCTCCCCCTGCCCCCTCCACGCTACGTCTCTGTATGTCAGGGACATCGCTATTTCAACGTTCGTCATTTGCAGCTTTCACTGTGTCAAAAACACCAGGCCTATATATCTGTCTATTTATTTAATTTTTTAAAAATATTTTTATTTTTTTTTTAGGGTAGGGGGCAAACTCAAAGTTCGCCATGGGTGGCACCATAACTCGCTACGACACTGCCTACAAATATGTAGGCTACATCTTACTTCTTACTATTAATGACAATGTTAAGGTAATAAGTCAAAACGCTCCTTTTTTTTCCCTTTAAAAAAAAAAATATTATTAGTAAGGGAAGAGAAAATCCATCTTGTTACCTCTATCTTGCCTGTGTAACGACTAAAATTCTAGCAGCTCCTAGGACGGTGCGTCCCTAGGACTAGGAAGAACAGGTTGTCTGTAAAAGAGCATTTAATTTTAAATTGCGAATGATTGAAAGTGTGTTGATCTATTTGATTTATTTTTCGCCACTTCTATTTAAACCGGATGTAATCTGAAATAAATTCTTAGAAGTTCACGTTTTTTGAACAGAGACATAACTCACCGCTTATTTTATCGGCTTTAGGCTGGATAGATAGTACTTATGAATCAGAATGTTACCTTTACCATCCACACACAACAATGCCAAATTAACCTCAACAATAAGAGGTTATCCCGACTGTGTTTTCGTTTAAATTAATTTAAACTGTACGCACATTAGTAAACACAGTAGTTTGTATTCATTTTTTAGAAATTAGAATTAGTTAGACTTATTATAATATAATAATTAATTAATAATTATATTATATTAAGACAGTTCAGTGAGTGACTGTGAAGTAAAAGTAAACAGCAAATGAATATAAAATGTAAAAGTCTAGGCTTGGGGGGGGGATCGTCCAAAATAATGTGAATTTATTTACAAAGTGGCTATTCAGACCCGCTACCAGAAGTGAGAGGTTGGGATTAATGATTAAAAAATGTTTAAAATTAAAATTATTAATAATTATTGTTGTGTTTGTAAGTAAGATAAAATTTGGTATAAAATGAAAGATAATTGAATGGACTATAACTATATGTTTGCAAACTAAATATGTAATTCTTTAGTTTAACTAAAATAAACTACCACAAATGACATCCGAATAGCATTTAGTCAAAATGGATGCGGACACGCATCGCCGCTATTCGGACCAGGGTCCTTTTAGACTAAATGCTATTCGGATGTCATTTGTGGTAGTTTATTTGAGTTAAACTGAAGAATTAAGTTTATAAATATATAGTCTATTTAATTATATTTCATTTGATACCAAATTTTGTCGTACCAACCGTACAATAATATTTTTTAATGGGAAGCGTTATCCACACAGCTCTGTGAATAACGTTGAGCGTTATCGGCAGAACGAGATCTGCGAATAATGCAGAGCGTTATTGTTAGACAGAAATGTTCCTATAATGACCCACATTTCTAGAAATAATTAAGATCACATTCCAAGCCGCGGTGGGGGTGTAGTTTTAAGTAGTGTAGGATAGATCGATCGTTAATGAGAATGGCACAAACACATCTCAAAACCGAAGCTACCGGTATGCACAAGTTAAATTTTAAAAATTTAATAGGCCTAACTATAGCCTATATATTGGATATAGGACAATTAATTGTGCCTACATCTGCTCTGTTAGGGACCAACATATTCGACCTATAGAGTGTTACTAATAAAATAGATGCAGTCAAACCTCCTACTCCTAGACATAGCTAATTTTCTGGTATTTCATATTAAATGTTATACCAGTAATAAATATGGTACCGGTATTCTTCATGTAGACTCACTTTCATCCACTGTAGAGATGTCTTTAAATGATGTCAAAGCTTGATAGGATATCGTTAAGTTTTTTTAAAGCACTATGATGTATCACGTAGTCCAGAAATGTTCTGACAGAAATAGTTGACATGCCGTGCAACAGTGTTATGATGCAGAGAGGTGTCTCCATCAAACGGCCATCTGAGATACGGGGAGGGGATAATAACAGAATCTAATCCTGTTTAAGGCTAGTATTTTTTCCTGATCCTTGAGGGTGTCCCTAAGTCTACCCAGCTCTGGCCTTAGCTGGGGAAAAGTAAAGCTGGCTGGTTATTGCGCTGGCCATACACTCACACTTGTAAACGCTGCTTCAATTGCCCCAAGGGAACTTTACTTCCCAAAGACTCGCAATGCATCCTACGACCAGCAGGGTTCCAATTAATTTTTGTATGCTTTTTTTGTATTTAGACCCATAGTTACAACAGTGGCAGTATGGCTTTTTGTTTCAATTATCAACATTTTTTTTACAAGAGCTAAAATTGTTGATGTCAATGATATTGATATGTTTTAAGTACGGTACCGGTATGTTCCTTTCATTGTCATCACTAAAT